ATTAAATATAATTATTATAAGTCTATTACGCCAGTCTGGTACACAGGAAACATCTAACGAAGAGCTGCGCGTCGATTCTATGTTCAATTTGGACAAATCCAATGCAGAGCTGCCTTAGAATTGTACTCTTGAAATACTATAATACTTCACAAATATTTGAGTTTTGCTTTAAACTACAGTCCGCAATCCAGGTGGTTCACTCTGGAGTCCTCTAATATGCCTTTATAAACGCTTCGGCAGTCAGGAGTTCTTTGGGAGGCAACGTTATTTTATGAAATTACCAACAACAAAGTAATACGAAAATGCGAAAAGAGAACGAGTTGTGGAACGAAATGTGGGCGACTTTGTGGCAGAGCTGGAGCCAGAAGGGCCAAGAGAAGCGGCTTAAGCAGGGCACTGCAGTTGAACCAGGGCTGGCGTTAGCCTGTTTCACCTGATGGCACAGGGATGTAGTGTAAGCTGATTAAAGGAAACTTGCTAGGCTTGTGGCGGCCCCCGGACAGCTCAATTGGCCAAAAACACTTTGTCGCGCTAATTAAGCCACTTGACAATTTTGTGGCGAATCAACACGGCGACGCAGGTCCCATAAATATTGCATATGCTGCCAAAGATAGCGGCCAAAGTTTCATTGCCTGCATTAGGCATTCCTTTTGCTCGACGAGCACGGCTCGCTACGTGCGCACTTAAATTCATCGCAGCGAAAACTCTATGGCAGCGACGTGACTTCTGTCCCACCAGTGCCACCTTTTAGTCGGCTTCATTTTAGTTGCCCTTTGATGCAACGCGCCGCTGCGATTGCACTCACACCGACAGCCCAACAGCCCAACAGCTCGATCTCTCGTATAATGAAAATTCGCCTCGAGTTGTGGAATTTTTGGCTTGCGCCTGAAGTGGAAATTTATATTGTAAACTGAATTTCACTGGCTTATAAAATACAATATTAAATATGCATCATATATCAGCAAATATTTTACTATATTTCCATTTATGAATGTAAAATAAATATATGAAAATATTTATATAAATATGTTTGCTTCATCATGTTAAAAATTGCAAAAAAAATTCTGCAATTGCAACTGAGTTGAATTGAGTTTTAATATTTCTCTGGAGAAGAATATTTAATTAATACGCAATTGGAATTTGAGCCAGCTTGGAGCTGCGTCGCACCACTACTATGTACATGAAAATATAAAAATCTTGTTTTCCTCAATCATGCTCTGTCGAACTGTGCATTTTCATGCGCACAGCTCGAATGGGCTGCCAATGCCAATTGATTATTAATTAAATATTCTTCTCAAAACTATTAATAAAGA